CATAGCGATAATATTAGGTAGATTTGAAATAATTAAATTCACACAGAGGTCTTACTAAAATCAAATCAATTTTGAGATAACGTGTAACTTTGAAAAACAGGTATAAGAATGTCATTAGTAGCCAAGACAAATTTCAACGCAATGATACCTTTCGTTCTGGCCGAATTTGCGAGTTTTGACAGAATATCGATAGCTACAGTAATGTCAGTTCAAGCCGCTGCGGATATCATAGGACGTTCGTGTGTGCCGTTGCTGAAATCAATCCTCGGAAGGACTAGTACGTACCGCCAGATAAAGTATACGAACACGAGGAGTGTCTTCACGAATGCCGACGAATCCGCGATATGTGGGGTGGGTTGACAATCAGCTAAGCGTATTGTACAATAATCATAACAAGCGCACCTCGAAACGCGCAGTTCACGAAAGTTCTAACATTTATATTATGACACTTTAATATGTAACGTGATACTTCCGATTTAACAAAATCATTCATTTTTAGTGTTTTGCGTAAACTTTTATGGCTGGATTTCATAAATTAGCACTGGATGTGACACTCCATCTCATTTATTTTTATAATTTCTATCTCACGTATCATACACGCTTTTTCAGATGTTAGATTATATTACATTACTTTATGCATTCTCATATCGTTCGCTTATTGCACTTGCAACAATCTGTCACAGCATATGTGCGACTACCGAGACTAGCTTCGAGACATTTCTCGTGCGCACATTTATTAAAAGTTATCGTTATTTGTTTAGCGTTATCTTTATCTCGGTATTTAGAGTAGAATTTCAACTTGATGATTCTGCAATTTTTAGAATATTTAATCAATTTCTTGCATTCTTTTACATTAAATAAGTGTAAATCAACTTTTGGATTTTTAAGTCTGCACGTCTCTTTAACAATCTCATATCTTTTTGACAGTTCTGTCGACGTAAGGTGATTTCTATGTAGTTGTGATCGGTGTTTCCATGACCAAAGTGTTTTTCAAGCTCTAATTATTCCCAACTACGTGCCATTGGAGAGCCTGCCGGTTGCATTCGGTATCCAGATGCTTTGTAACGGTGTTCTGTCTATCAGCGTGAGACCAGTCATCGGTAAACTTAATAAATATCATAAATTTACTGTAATAAATAATTTATAATCGAATAATTAGTTTAAGCTTTAATGGTTATTGAGACGATATCATCTAATTACATTATATTATTTCTAAGGTCTGATTCGTGATTCCACGGATTAGTTACGTGGGTGCGCTTTATTTTACATCCTTTCTGAGCTTGTCTTGTATTTTTCTATGGACGATAAGTAGACTTTGGAATTCCGGTGGAAATGTTTTAAGATTGACTCAATGCAATTCATTAGCAGAAAAAAAAAGTCTTGTGAAAATACGTAATATTATATTTTCTAATTATATCTGCAGATTTTAGTGGTATAAAGAATTTATATGCATAAATATTATCAATTTACTATAACAAGATGTATCTTTATTAGAATCACAAATATGCCAAGTAATTGTAGAAATTTTCAATTTGTAAAAGGTACCAGTTTATC